ATACATAGTGAGTGAGAAAGGTGACTGGAAAGGAAAAACTCAATGCATCATGGGAATCCCCCGGCAGCCTACGTCTATTGCAGCATAACTAAGGGAGGATTCAGGGTCACCTGGTCCAGCCCTAACTATATGCTTTAGCAAAAAGGAAAGTTTGAAGCCTAATCTTGAAAGTAGAGATAGTGTCTGTCTCCTGAATCCAAACTGGAAGCTGGTTCCATAGAAGAGGGGCCTGAAAACTGAAGGCTCTGCCTCCCATTCTACTTTTAAATACTCTAGGAACAACAAGTAGGCCTGCAGAGCAAGAGCGAAGTGCTCTAATAGGGTGATATGGTACTACAAGGTCATTGAGATAAGATGGGGCCTGATTATTTAAGACTTTGTATGTGAGCAGCAGGATTTTGAATTCTGGATTTAACAGGAAGCCAATGAAGGGAAGCCAAAACAGGAAATCAGTCGTCGACGATTTAATAGTCGATTAATCGTGGCAGCTCTAAACTGAACATCAGGTAAGAAGTTGTGACCTGCAGTGTATCTGGGTCAGATCTAAACCAAGTTTAGGTGGAGTTTATTTTCGTTGTGCTGAATTTTTACAGTCAGTTACAATAACTCGTACTGCTAGCTAGCATGACAGAGTTTATATACAGCTGGGTGGGTGCTATGATGTTACCGATAGTGAACTTTATTTTGTTCATAAGGTTCGTTAGTAGAGTTGCCAACAGTCCTGTAAAAACAGAATCGTCGTTTCGTGTTGAGCTGAAAAGGAAGTTTGTCCCGGACTTCAGCTACAATGAAAAAGACACAAAGCTGGAGTTATTCTGTGTTTACACTGTCAGCTGTTTCTTCTTCTCTCCCCTCCCTCTCCTGTTACTACTTCAATCATGAAACTGATCAATGATCAGCTGATCGGCTTTTCTCTCTTGTTTATTTATCGCCCACTTTGCACCAGAAAGCGGAAACCAGCGGGAAGTTATGAACTGTTTCTGAGAGACAAATAACACCAGGATCCTTTTCTAAGCAGCTGACAGCTGGTAACTGTGCAGGGGGGCAGGTAGGGCATTAACAGGGAGAGGGGGCACAAAGACATACTTTCTTATTCTCATTTAAAATGTCTGTTATTAAATAATTATCTGAAGCTTACAACCAAAGTTTTTATCTGACGTAAAATGTATAGAAATCACACATATACCAACAAGACTGTACATCACAGTCACCACAGCGTTTCATTCAAAGGCTTCAGGATTTTTCCTATAATGGTGGCCGGTCTCCAGTCAACAGCGAAGCGCCACCTGGTGGCAGATGGCTGCAGAACATTAGGACACAAAACTTGAACGACATCAGTTATTAAAACTGTAACGATCAGATTAAACGACTACGTCTGGTACCGACTAGTAACAACAGCGACGACTGGTCGAGGAGTCACACATCCACCTTCTGTCCTCCTGAAACATCTCTGCAGCTTTCATGTCCCACAGAGCTGTGATCAGGAGGCTCCCTCAGAGGGACGCTCACCTGTCCTGTGCAGCTTTGTGTGTGTGGATGACTGAATGTAGCGTAAAGCGCTTTGGGGCCCTTAGGCACTAAGCAAAGCGCTACAAATACAGGCCATTTACCATTGATTTGGGGTTTCCAGGTGACATCCAGCAGTCTGCGCTGACGCTCCATCTCTTCCTCGTACTGCACAGGATCATTATGAACTTCAGGCTCCTCCTTCAGTCCCAGCTGCTCTCCCTGCTGACTGCTGCACAGTTCCTCCTCTTCCTCTTTAATCTGTGGAGCTTCTGGTTCCTCCTGCTCCACACTGGAGCTCCTCTCCTGGTTAATGTCACGGTTCTGTCTAAGTTCTGGAGCAACAAAAGGGATAAAAGAAAAACATAACTAATGGAATGATTTTAAATAATAATAATTCTAAAGGTGGGAAACTGTTGACCTGACTCATAACATGATTTGTGTGACCAGGTTTTGTTGGAAAACTGAGTTTTTCTAAGACAAGACAGACCTGAGCCTGCATGAAGTTTGAGGCATTTCAAGCCTTTTCTAAGTGCACATGCAAGTTTTCATATAAGCTCAGCTGCAGCTCACACTCAGCTGGAATCGTTAAATCAAACCATTCAAAGGTTCTCTGACAGTAAAGAACATTTAAAGCATGCTAGTCTAAGGCTAGCTCCTGTCCTAGCACCCTGTGATTCACAGCATCCATCCAGACTCAGTGCTGCGTATTGAAACAGTCGGTTTGTATAGGGTCACATATTCATCTATCCTCATGTGTTTCATTAATGCCTTTGATCGAGCAAACCACAGGAAACCTGTTCCTGGATACATGGTGAGGATTCTCTCTTACTGGGAGAATCATCACGAGATGCAGGTTAACTGGGGAAGCGGGATATCTGCCCCCTGTGATGTCAGCCAGGGTGGGATCACGTGTTCGTCCATGCAGCTGAGCGCCTCTAACACCGGATCTTATGAATGCTGGTGATGTGCGTATCGATCCTGAGATATCGATTCCTCCGATACCAGTCATTTATGTTCTAGAACAGGGGTCCCCAACCCCCGGGCCTCGGACCGGTACTGGTCCGTGAGTCGTTTGGT